GGGGGGGGGGTCGCATCACCGAGCGTCTACTTTGGGATTCGTGATCATGTTGACTCGGGATTGTTGAGGTTTGATTGCTGAAGCTGAGTAGAACCGTTCTTTCTGTATTACTGGGTGCTTGCAAAATCGAGTGTCTACATGGGGAACGGCTGGTTTTGATTTTCTGTTTGATGCGATGTCGCTAATGTGTTTTAGGAGCGGGTGCTTGCTAAATCGAGCATCTAGATTGGGAAGGGCTGGTTTTGATGTGCTGTCATGCCATTGATGTGTGTCTCGAACGGACGCTTGTGGAATTGAGCGTCTACATGGGCAAGAATGACTGGTTTTGATATGTGAACTCGGAGCTAATCACGTGGCCCTGTAGAAAATAGGTCCAGCTCATCCAAACCAGTCTCGGTCACACTGTTTGGCTCTGGGTATACGCACGCGCACAGACGGACATACATAGGACATAGAGACAGAGACACACCTACATGGGCAATGGCTGGTTGGGCCGTGCTGTTAGCCACTGATGTCGAGTGGATGCGCAGCCTTGCTGACGCAGCGTCTACATGGGGAAAGCCATGTTGATGTGACCATGATGTGACACTCTCGCATCGCACGCGCGTCCCCTAGAACAGCTGTTTTCCAACAAGGCGTTATGCGACTTAGCTGTACGCTGTACATGCACCTCGAGGGTGTGGTCTCCCAAGATATCCCAAGATCAACGCTCGGTACGCGCACTTCGCGTGTGTTTGCATGCCAAGGATCATCCAAGATAAGGCAAGCAGAATTCGCTATGCGTACAAAGGGACGTCGATTCCCGCAAGACAATGGCAGCGTCTACTTATTCGCGACTCGGTGCCGACATATATTCTCAAATGCGAAGAAGCTCTGGAAAACCCAGTATCCGCGAAGCATCCTGGCAATTGAGCTGGAGTGACTTGGAGCGTACAATCAGCATCCACAGGGGTTCTTGCATCTACTCATATGTATTCTTGCCACTAATGAGGCTTCTCAGCCCACGGTGCGCAGGGCACGCGGCATTTCAAGTGCAAGCCGCGAACACTCCAAAAATGCGTGTGCCCTTGCAGAATGGCTAAAGTTTAACTGTTGTTGGGCTGACATCACCCCGCTTGGGGTGACTTCACTCCTATGCCGTGTGCCGCAAGGCTTGGGGCGACTTTACGCCAGCTGGGGCGACGTAAACCTAGTGCTTGTTTTTGATTGCTGCTTATATGACATGATGTGATATAAGAATATACTGTAATACTATATTGTATCATTTTATATTATAGTATAGTCTAGTATAGTATAGTATGTCATAGTTTTATTATATCTGAGATATGAGAAACATGAAGATCATGCGTGAGGTAGCAGTGCAAGAGTGATGGGAACAGTGTTTCACCTCGACGACTCTTTCGGCCACGGTATTCGATGCTTGCTGGTTGCACGGACTCCGCATGGTCTCGTCTCTTCTTCTTGTTATTGTTGTCTGTAAAATTTTCGCCGCATATAGATTTCGAGCTGTTGTGCAACCGTTCTTTCATGAGCTAGCATGCCACACAGGGTGAGGCCTCGCACACTTTTGAAGTTTGGAGGTTTGGGGTTTAGGGGAGTTCTTGTGGAAAGTTGCGTGCCCCCCCCGTGCTCACTGCATTCGACCACGTTCTATACACTGTTCTGTGCGAGAAGCAACCGGGAGCACAATATTTATGGGCCCTCCGGCATCGAATTGACCAGACCCTCCAAAACCGCTTCACTAAGGATATACTCCTTAGAAACTATAGAAGGATCCCGAATATGCTTGGTAAGGTATGTTCCTCAGGTAAAGGGTTTTGAAAGATCTCGAAATGTCTAAACCCTAAACCCTAAACCCCTAAACCCTTAGCCCTAAACCTTAAACCTTAAGCCCTAAACCTGAAAGCCTAAACCCTAAACCCTAAAGTGAACCCGAGGTTGACATGTCTACCTTTTTGCGAAGGAGCAAGGCCGCGACCCAAGTCCGAAGAGTGTAGCGAGTGCGAAAGGAGAGTAGTAATGCTAAGAGCATGATCAAATACCATTCCTGCTCGTAATAAGACTAATAATTAGACGAAGCATAAGAGCCATAATAAGTCTGATAATCATAATATACATGATAAGCATGACAATCATGATTTTCATGAGAATCATCATAGTCACAATTAGTAGTATCAACGACGCAAATAGTAATGATAATGTTAATACGAATGATGACAATAATCCTAGTTACTACGTCGAATGTTCTTTCAAGTAGATCGTGTCCAGGGATTGACTGAATAAGTTTGTGCAGTTTTTTTCAACTTCTGCTTGCAGACATCCATGCAGGGTTGCAAGTTCGCGAATTCACGGGGATTGAAATTATGCTCGCTCGAGCTGTGCCTGGAGGCGAGTGGCCTGCGTTTGCGGCCCAAGTTGTGGGAAGCTGGGTGACTTGTCCTTTCCCTGCGGCCTGCACCACAAAGAATTCGCTAAAGCTCTGACAGATGGCCATCCGTCAGGTGCCCGTACACGTGGCATGCGACGTCCCAGATGGGATAGCGCTTCATATGGAGGATGTTGACGGCATCGGCGTCCCGAGTATGTCGATGGCTGTTTCCATGAAATTGAGCCTTCCTATTCATGACCTTCTCAAGATGTTGGTTTCGTGGCAGGAGCATGAGGCTCGGTCCATCCAGCATGTGCCTTCGCCTCAGGCGGCCGAGGAGAGCCACAGAGAGGCGACGGAACTATGCGAATCAGCCAACTTCGGGCCGGTTCCTCTTCGAAACTCCCCGGCATATGTGGCGTATAAGGCCCAGAACGGCTGGGAGCGGATCTCCGCTCCCAGGGTCGTCGTGCTGGAAGACGAGATGAAGCTGAGAGCAGCCGCCTTTCAGGCCTTGCCTCTTCCGGAACACAGGGCCAGGAGCTATGCAGACTTCAAGGAAGACCCGACTTCTGCGTCCGTGGGCCCCTCCGTCGCCGAGGCAACGGCCGACTCTGCGATGTGTAGCCCAGGCCCAAGCCGCCCAAGCCCAAGGCCTTTGTTGTCTCCCAAGGCGCCGCCCCCTGGCTGGAAGTCGCCGGCGCCAGAAGCACCACGCCGGAGATCCGCGCCGGTCCTGTTAGCAGTGCCAGAAGACGGCCCGGGCTGGAACATTTGAGAGGAGGTGGGCACGGCCGCGGAGTTCTGTGATGTGATGGGTTTGGCAAAAAGTGCCATGTAGCAAGTAAAGCAGACGAGTTTAAGCCACTTTTTGTAGTTAGGTGGGAGAAGATCCCGAAGTCCCGGGGATGCTAGTAACGCATGACACGGGCTTCCCGGAGACAGTGTGAACCGGAGACGCCAGGGTACAAAAGAATCTCCAGGAAACTGCTGGGGTGATCGAACAGTGTTGTACTGTAACTTTAGTGTAGTAAAATGTACTATGATATACTCTAATAGGCTCCGGGTTGTGCTTCCCGGGTTTTGGCCGGTTAACTTGGGCTTCTCGACCAGGCCCCGGATGTTGGTGCCCGGATCCGCCATATCATCACGAGGTTGCAGAGCCTTCTTCCACGGCCCCTACGTCAATGATAGGATTTGTAGGACCCTTCTCCTGAAGCATGCTGCATAATACAAAATGACGCCAAGCTGAACTCAATTCGCTCAGGTCGATATCAAGCAGGTTGGCAACTTCCTCGGGGAGGCCGAAAACCGGGGAAAAACATGAAGTGCATAATAAGCAGCTAAAGACATCGGCGTCCATAAGGTCTCTATAACTACTCTACTTTTACGCCACCAAACCATGCCAAACCCTATTCCAAGAAATTAAGGGCCCTTGTTAAGCCCAACGCTGCGAGCCGAATCCTTTCAGTTTCCGGCTTCGCACGGTGTCTTTGTCGGGGTTTAGTCCTAGGTAGTATGATGGAGACCCCTTCAAGGGGACCCTTCTTAACCCTGCTTATGGCTTTCTTAACAGAGACCTTAGTCAGAGGGTCTTTTTTCAAGGGTTCCCCCGCTATGCAGGGTTTCGGGGCCTGTGATCATTTGGCGAAGGCCCCAAGCAGCCATCTTCCACCCACTCAGGCCTGCATGTTACGCCCACATGCGGACAGCAGCGGCCAGAACCTCCGAAATGAGTTCGCTCAGCCTGTGTTCACAGACCTGCACACATTGAGCTCACAGCTTAAGCAGGAATCGGGCTCGCAGCCGAGCTGACACTCTAGTGCCAAGAGAGCCGAGAAGCCCTGATCTCCAAACACCCAAGCCCTAAACCCTAAACCCCCTACAGTAGAAGTCAAAAAATTCCTTAACAGTAAGGTAACATGTAAAGGTAGTCCCAGCAGTATTTTTCCTAGTAAACCCCAAACCCCTAAACCCTAAGCCCCCTAAACCCTACACCCTAAACCCCAAGCCCCCAGATCTGTTCCCTCTCTCGCTCGGAGCACTGAATGGAGGCCTTCTCGCTCTCTCATACGATTCGGCTGGAGTTTTTGAATTCGGTGGCTGGGCACTCAGCAAAGGAAGACTCAGGGTGAAAGGGAGCAGACAGGTAGTGTAGAGAATTTGAAAAAAGAGAACTTTCGCGACTGAGGGACCCTGAACTCAAGCAGCCCGGCTTCCCGCGAAAGGTCCTGCAGAACACTGGTGTGGTCTCTGCGCTGATCCAGGCTGCGTGGGCCGAAAATCCAGCACCCCAAACCCAAAGTGCGAGACTATCCCCTTCTACTACCCTCTACAGTTCTAGTGTTGTGTAGTATGCCCAAAGCCTTCTTCTATTCCCTTCATGGCCCCTGCATTCTGCTTAGCACACTTGTCGCTCGCTCGAGGATCCAAAGCTTTGGAAAGCGCTTGTCTCGACATCGCACGCGTGCACATCTGCGTTTTTTCTGTCTGAATCTCTGTGCGTGTATTATGTAAACATGTACATATACATATATACATATGTATATAGAAATATATGTATGTATATATATATATATATATACATGTAGATTCATATGAATATACATATACCGCGTGCACCTATGCATGAGTCATCTGTCTGTCTATCCACCTATCTCTTTCTCTCTCATCTTACATATATATATATATTATATCTATATATCTATATATATATATAATGGATCTCTCTCTCTCCCTCTCTCTCGTGCTCTCTCTAGCTCTCTCGTTGGCTCGTTCGTGTGTGGAGTCAGGAAAGTCTCCGTGCTTTGAGTATGCCCCCTACTTGGAGGATCATGGGGCTTAGTTTAAGCCCCATCACAATTATAAGTATAGTTACCTTACTTATAAGTCTAGTTACTAAGTGCCATGATCCTCCAAGCAAACCCTGAACTCCAAGCCAATTGCAGGTCTTCCACATGCTCCAGCTGCCCGATGACCTGTCGCCTGCATGTTTGGGAGGGTTATTCGGCATTGGGCTCTAAAATCCAAAATCCAGGGATGCTTGTTTCCGGTTTAAGGGTAATACACCGGCCTAAATGATTGCCAATACTACTTTTTGAACACCTTCTTCTAGATGCAGTATTATAATAGAACCCAAAAACCCTATTCTAGTTATTAAGAGTTTGAGGTTTTGGCTCAGGGTTTGGAGTTTAGGGCTCAGGGGGCTTCAGGTTTCATGGGTCCCTGGTGTTTTTGAGGCACTCTTGGACTCCCGGGCCACTCGAAACTTGGCACCATTCTAGGTAGGCCTTCGGCTCCTTTTGGGCTTAAAGAGGGGCTTCTTTGTACCTTGAGCCCTCAACCAAAAAGCCCTAAACCCCGTAAGCCCTAGACCCTAAAACCCTGAACCCCTAAAGCCCTTACCCCCCAAAACCACACACAAACCTGAGTCTTGTTCAAAAGGCTTTGAAGGGCCAACCTCGGTCTTAGACCGATGGGACGTTAGGCCGCCGGCGCCTGCTTTTGGTTGCTGAAGGTTTAGGGTTCAGTTAGGGTTTAGGGTTCACCGGTTTTTCGGCCAGGCAGAAGATCAATCGACTGGTGCATGGCGTCGCGAGGATATGGTGGAGGCACCAGGGAAGCTTCAAGCCTTTGGGGTTAAGGGTTTGGGGTTCAGGGTAAAGGGTGATCATGCAGGCTTCCGCCGCCGAAATAGGGATTATCTGTCCGGGATGCTCTCGGGTGAGGGCTTCGAATCCCTGAGCGGCTGAAACAAAGAAGCCAGAATAGTTTCTAGTAGTATTCAAGGTTCGGGCATGGATGCTCTGGTGCACGGATGAGGTCTTTGTGGATGCTATTGCGGTTCGAGCATGGGCGCTCTGGGAAGCGTTTGAGGCTCTGCTAAGGATCAATACTCTTGCTTGTGGGGTCAAAAAATCTTACCCTTTCTTGTGTAGGGTTCCCCACGATAAACACAGTATATTATGCCCCAGTGCAGTTTTGAGGGCCTCGATAGTTCCCTCTCTGGAGTTCTTTTGCTCCTTTCTCTAGATGGGAAGTTCTCTAAATTAGGGTCCTTTTTTAGCTCCCCAATATATACGGCACCCTCATAAAAAGGACTCTGAAAGGGACCCTGATTTAGCGAACTACCAAGATACTGACGAGGCAGCACGAGCGCATGCAGCGTGAAAGCTCTGGCGTGGCGACCTCATGGGGCTTAGGGCCCGAGGTCTGACAGTTGAGGTTAACTTTCTTTAGGGTGTACATGGGCTTGGGGTTTAGGGTCTGACGAAAGTCATTCCGTTTCTCAGCAGGACATAACATCCCAACCCTGGTCGGTGCAGGTGGTGTACATGTAGGGGGCCTTCATAATTAGAATCGGTTTTTGGAACCATTTACAGTATAATAATAACAAGGGGGGCTCTAAATAATTTAGGTAATTATTTAGGCCGCTACATTGGCTGAAAGTTCCAGTGTTTCCGAGCGCAGCCACTGTTTTGTTTACATCTCCTCAGCCCTTTCAAAGCACGGAACTGAGGAGACACGTTACTTCAGAGAGCGAAGGAAGCTGCTGGTGAGGTTCAGGCTGCTCCAATGTCCCAGTAAGATACCAGACTCACAGACCCTTTTCGTGTCTGAATCAATCATGCAGCGCTCTGCAACCCCTGCTAGTTTCGTGTTGATGTGCATAGCTGTTCACACGTGGTGTGTGGTATGTAGTCAATCTTTGCATACGAGCTAAAGACTACAAGTAGAGGAATCAAATCCTGAAATGTTGAAGATGCGGTGCCTGCTCAGCTCTGTGGTATGCACAGATTTTTTATCGCAGAAATATCGCTTTCGCTTGGCTGCCAGAAAACGTGATTTGAACTTGTATCTTTTGGACAAGGAAACAGCCAAGCTATTGTCTGCGGACGCGCGTGATTCACAACAAGACAAATGTGACACATACGTGTATGTGTACATCTGTACATCAAGCGAATTAATCTGACGTATAGATAGTCTATAATTTACAATAAGTACTTACTTATTCTAAATTATAGACTATTTCTTATACGTCTGATTAATAATCTAGAATATAACAGAAGCTTGAGAAAACCCTCCGACCTTCCCATGAGGCAGTGGCACCCCGAAAGCCACCCGCCATGGAGAATGGCGCCGTTCAGCTCAGTCTCTCCCAGGCTCCTTCAGGGCTGCGTTCAGGGTTTGGGGTTTAGGGTTCAGGGTTTAGGGTTCAGGGTTTAAATTAGGGCTTAGGGTTCAGGGTTTCGGGTTCAGGGTTTGGGGTTTTAGGGCCGCGGGCCGAGGGTTTAGGGCTGAGAGTCCTGCCACTTCTTGGACTTTTGGGGCTGAAGGATTTCCTAGCAGCAGTGGCAAAAGAAGTATCAGAGGCGGCAGCAGCAACAGCGACAGCATCAGCAGGAGGAGACGAGAAGCAATGGGAGGGTCGCAGCAGTTGTGGTGCTGGTGGTGGTGATAGCAGCAAGAGTGTTGTAGATAGCAGGTAGTAGCTTGTAGCTAGCAGATAGCAGCTAGAATTTAGCAGTTGCCACTCGTAGTTTCCAGTTGGCATGTGGTAGTCACCGCTTGGTGGTTCGCAGGTAATAGACAGTTGCCGGCAGCTGGTTGTTAGTAGCAAGAATTTAGTAGCTAGTAGCAGAAGCCTCGGTGCGAACACCAGGGCCATCGTCCCTTTCATTTCTGAGCCGTGCAGGAGCTGAATGGTTTGGAGCTTAAGCAATACCTCTCCGGCTCGGATGTCTTGCACCAGGTGGGGCCCTGTTTCATATAGGGGCCTAAATAATTACCAACACTATTTGGGGGGCTCCTTACTATGATCCACCCCAAAACCCTGTTCTAATTATTAAGGTCCCTCTTTTGTTGTTTTGGCAACTTTGCTGTGGGAGACTACGAGTGATGAACTCTGATCAGTTGGGTAGATTATGCCATAAAAGCGAATAGTACTGGTAGCTGTTTAGATTTCTCTATTGCGGTTCCGAAGGCTCTATACTGGTTCTATGGTCCGGAACAGTAGAGGAATCCTTGAGGTTCGTTATCATTCCGAGCATGAAGGCCCCAACGCGTTCAACCATGCTGTTTCAGCACCCTAAATGCTCGACCCCGAAACAAACGGAAATCCGAAGTTCAAAAAGCTCCAAAAGCAGAAAAGTCAGAGGCAGAGGCACGAACTGAAAGGCCCCAAGAGAAGCCCACGGCAGCCTTTAAACCCTGAATTAGGGTCTAGGGTTAGGCTTGGGGTTTGGGGTTTAGAGATAAAAACCAAATGCACGGAAAAAAGGGCCCTTGAATGAAGAAGCGCCTCTTTTTGCACCTTCCCCTAAAACCACAGCCCCTTTGCCTGCAGCTGATGTTCTCCACCGTCATGCTCCATTGGTACCTCTACAGGGACGGCCCCAGCGGGCAGAAGAAGGCGCGGGTAGTGACTTTGATGTTGTACTATAGTATCCTATACTACACTGCACCACACTCTCCTATACTAGACTACACTATACTATAGTATACTTTTCCAGGGCCCCCTCCTGGAGCCCACTAGCGGGCTTTGCGAGGGTTTAGGGCTTAGGGTCTGATGGCCAGGAGTTTCATAAGACCCGCGGATGAAAGGGTGAAGTTGCGCTCTCTTGAAACTTTTTTTCCTTCTTCTCGGGAGTCCAGGAAAAGTGCCCTTGGATCCCCAGGACATGGACTTTGACACGTGGCAGCGGCAAAACCGCGGCATTGAGACCAACGGCACGAATGTGCCGGACCACGTGCAGCAGCAGGTCTATGCATTGGTGAACAAGGCTGGGAGAGCTCTTCGTAGAGCCTAAAGCGTACCCTAGGACCTGACATCCCTGAAGCCTTAACGCCAAAGCCTGCACCCTGCAGATCCTTCTAGAAACTCCTATAGTTACCCGAACCCCAAATCCTCGACCCCAAACTCCTGAACCCTAAAGCCTAAAGCCCCCAAAACCTACACCCTAGATCCCTAAAGCCACAAAGCCCAGATCCCTAAGCCCAGATGCCTAAACCCTAAAGCTCAAAGCCCTAAAGCCAAAACCCCCTAAACCTTCTTATTGCAAAACCGTTATGATTCTGTTCATGCTTATTGATGTTACCTATAGTTGTCGTGATTCTTGCTATGAGTATCATGAATTCTGTTCTAATAATTATCATTATTATCATTATTATCATTGTACTTATGCTTAGTAATACTACTATGATTATCATTCTTATTTTTTATTTATCATCAGTATTGCAGCCCCAGAGACGCAGAACCGAACTTTCTCCAGGCCTTCATTCCTGAGCTGGCCGTCGCTTCGGCGCAAAAGAAGCCGGAGGGGCCCCGCCCCGAGCTGCCCTTCCTTGGCTTCCTTTGAGGGCTCCTTCAACCCTAAACCCTAAACTCTAAACCCTAAACCCTAAACCCTTCAACCCTAAACCCTAAACCTTAAACCCTAAACTCTGAACCCTTCAACCCTAAACCCTTCAACCCTAAGCCCTAAACAGGGTTGGGAGTCTTGGGGATCCTTTAAAGGCCGCTACCAAGCAGAACAAGGGTACTTTCTAGCACCTTGCATCGATGCCTGGGAAGCTCCCACAGGGTTTTAGGGTTTTAGGGTTTTAGGGTTTAAGGTTTGGGGCTGAGTGTTTAAGGTTTAGGTTTTAGGGTTTTAGGGTTAAAGGTTTGGGGCTGAGTGTTTAAGGTTTAGGTTTTAGGGTTTTAGGGGCTGAGTGTTTAAGGTTTAGGTTTTAGGGTTTTAGGGTTAAAGGTTTGGGGCTGAGTGTTTAAGGTTTAGGTTTTAGGGTTTTAGGGTTTAAGGTTTGGGGCTGAGTGTTTAAGGTTTAGGTTTTAGGGTGTTAGGGTTTAGGGTTTGAGGTTTAGGGTTTAGAACCAGAGTGTCTCGCACAATACAAGAGTACTTTTTCAGGCTTACCTTAAACCGAAATGACCTGCCTTTTGAAGTCCTTGAGTAAGGAAATCATAGTGAGGAGCTCTAAAAAATCAGGCCTTATAGGCTTCAGGTAGGGTTTTGGGTTGTTTCAGGGCTTCGGAGTTTTTATCGGATCTACAAGGGTTCTTGAGGAGATTCCAGAGCAGACTTGGATCCAGCAACTCCCCCCTTACCCCGCCCGGGAAAGGCACACTCATCTTTAATCAAGAAGCCTAAATAAATACCAATACCGTTTTGGGGTTCCTTATTATAGTTATGGTATAGTATACCCAAAAGCTTATTCTAATTATTGTGGCCCCTACATTACACAAGTTGTGGGTAGCGGCTAGCGTTTCCCTTAGGTAGGGATCTCTGGGACCATTGGGTTTTTAGGGTTTTTAGGGTTTAGGGTTTTAGGGTTTTAGGGTTTTAGGGTTTTAGGGTGTGGGGTTTTTCGTTTTCGAGGGATGGACCTGCCCGATCGGGTACTTCGGCCTTCCTTGAGGGTTAGTTAGTGTGGGTGTTACCAAAAGCTACACTACTTTGTTAGGCAGTGACACTTAGACTCAATTCTTTTCTGTGTCAGGGAGGGCAGATTCTTGTCGGAGTGCGAATGAATGCGAGCTGTATCACCATATCGTCCTCATGTAACTACATTCAGGCCTCTTTTCGTGGAGTTTCGAACTCGATTCAGCTGCATCCCCAGCCCCCAAACCCTAAGCCCCTAAAAACTAAACCCTAAGTCCCTAAACCGCTTGGTGCCAGGGGGCCAGATGAGGGAGGGGGTCCTGGAGAAGTTGCACCCGAAAGGTCCAGCCAACCGAGTCAGTTCGGGTCTGGATGTTTACCGGAACTCTAAATTTTAAATGAACCCTAAGCCCTGAGCCGGTGGAGGGGCTACTGAGCTTTCGGATTTGAGGGCTACATTTGAGATCTGAGGCTGTCTTGTTCGCACTCTCCTGGCCCCCCCCAGTCCTCGCTGCACGTCGGCCCGGAGATGATACACGTATGTATCCATACGTATGCATGCTTGCTTGCTTGCTTGCGTGCTGCTTGCTTGGTTAGTTGTTTACTTACTTAAAGATTTCATGACAAGCTATCTGACTCTTCGTTCAAGAATGTACCTAAACATCTAACCATTGATTAGTTCATGACCTAAGCACACAACTAAGTGAATTAGTCAGTAAGAGAGCTGGCAGCTGTAAGTGCATGCATTTACATACTGGTGGTATGTGTATGCGTGCATACCTGCATACATACATACATACATACATACATACATACAGACAGACAGACAGACAGACAGACAGACATATAGACATGGATGTAGATATACATGCATGCATGTATGCTTACGTACGGACGTGCATACATGCATGCATGTTTGCATTCAAGCATACACGCACACACTTGCAAATACAAGCGTTTGTGTATGTAGATGTATGTAGATGTATGTATGTATGTATGTATGTATGTATGTATGTATGTATGCAGGTATGTAGGTCCTACATATCTATATGTGTGTGTATGTATATTTCGATGATACAATATATAATTACACAAACAAACAAAAAGTATATATGTATATACGGATACACATACATACATACATACATACATACATACATACATACATACATACATTACCTTACATGACATTCCATTCCATTCCATTCCATTGCATCGCATTACAGAACATACATAATTACCTACACACATATACACATACATATTTACGTATGTATTTATGCATGCATGCATGCATGCATGTATGTATGTATGCATGCAAGTAAGTATGTAGATATGTATGTAGGTACATACACATAGAGGCACATAGATAGCTATAGTTCTGCAGCTGCACAGCGATGTACCTTTAGATCTCCCCGACGAGAACTGCCGGTGAAGAGGCCAACGGCGCCATTGCTTGCCCCCTTTGCTGCTGCAGAAGGTGAGGGCCGCGAATTTCTTAGAAGAAGCGAGTTGCAATGCTTCTCGCATGAGCTACAGCCACTTTGCTATGTACTCAGGTTGTTAAGCAAGATGCCGTCTGATCTAGGGGTTCGAGCACACATCCAGGCTTCGAATTGTTTATATTTTTTTGTTTCAGGTGCGAGTTTTTGAGTTTACTGTTTCTTTGAATACAATTGTTATTGTTATTGCGCTTTTGCTATTATCATTTTCATTATTTTTTCTTCCTGCCGTTGTTTTTATTACTAGCATTCGTTTCATTTGCACTGTTGTTTTTTGTTACGACTTTTTATCCTCGTGCATGGACGCAGCGACGAGCCAGGGTGGGCTCAGATCGTCGGCGGCGGCTTCCCGAAGCCCAGCGGTCTCCGGCTCAGCTGCTGTTAGTATTATGCTTAACATTGCTATTATTGTTATTATTATTGTTATTATTGTTGTTATTATTGTTGTTATTATTATTGTTATTATTGTTGTTATTATTATATTGTTATTATTATTGTTATTATTATTGTTATTGTTATTGTTATTGTTATTATGAGTATTATTATGAGCATTATTATGAGTATTATTATGAGTACTAATACTATTATTGATATGTAGTAGAGTAGTAGCATGATCATCAGTATTACTGTTCGTGTTACAACTGTCAATCTGCTTAGTATTACCATTAGTATTCGTAGTAGTATTACTCTCATGACTATTAGTATGACTATTGTTGTTTGTCTGATTATTGTCATGATTAGTGTTATTAGTAGTCTTCTTCTTCAGCAGCTGTCACTGGCTGATGTGGCGGCTCCTCACATCTTCCACTGCAAGCTGCCCAAGATATGCCACCCTCTCCCTCTCTCTCTTTGTCCGGCTCTCCGTGAAAGCTGTCTACACTGAAGTTTGCCAAAAGCTCTAGCCTCTCGATTCCCACGGGGGTGGGATGAATGGGAGCTGTTGGAGACTTCTGACCCAAGCCATCCCGAACCAAAAAGATTGCATCTGTTTGTTTTCCTGGCCGAAGGGACCGCTGGGGTGCTCGACGGGTTTGGTAGTGCCCTCCTGCCCGAGGTGCGGCGGGCGTGCAAACAGTCACGTACTCGCCACTCGGCCGCATGGCAGGTGCTTAGGGCCTTGATCCCCTAAGCATGAGGATTAGTATCATAGTAGCAGTATTCGTATTAGTATTTATTTTTTTTAGTCTAAATATCAGTATTCGTATCAGTATCAATGTTGGCATTCGTATTAGTATTAGTGTCTCCTTTGTCACATCCAGGAACCCTTGACTAGCATTGTGCTGGCTCAGAGCCTCCAGCAGAACAGGCGGCGACGGCGATGGGATAGTAATATAGGGGCCTAAATAATTATCGGTACTACTTCGAGGTTCCTTGTTATAATTCTAGTATAATATAGCCCAAAACCCTATTCTAATGAAAAAGGCTCCACATTCTGTTGATGATATAAAGCCTGCATTACCTTAAGGACCCTAAACTATGGGAATGATGATATATTCCGTATTATGGGTAATGCAGGATTTATACCATCAACCGTTAGTCTCATGCTGCCATGAAACATAGAACTGAGCCGCCGGACCGTGCGCTTGGGGTCAGGCTTTAGGGTCTTCGGGTTTAGGTGGTTTAGGGTGGTACCCAGAGAACCCAATACCCCTTATTCAAGGAACATACATTAGATCATCATATTAAGGCCCCTATAGTTTAAGGTCTATTCCTCAATTAAGGTGTCTTGGGTTCTCTGGGTAACTCTCTGAGGCACGTTTCCAGCATCTTCAGCGAGGTGACCCAGGGCACCTCAGGCTGGGTCACTGGGATTGGGCCTCTCTTGCTGTCTTTGCTGTCTCAGAATTGGCTTCTGATCTCTCTCTCTTTCCTCAAGCAGGCCGTTCGTAAACCTCTAGCAGACCCTACCCCAAGCTTGCATCCCTTCCTCTTTGATTCTGAATATTATTGCTACAAGTATTACTATTGCTATTGCTACTATTACTACTACTACTACTACTACTACGACGACTACGACGACTACTACTACTACGACAGGATCCTCCTGCTGAGGTGATAAACTTTACCATGCCTCGTGTGACGGGTAACATCGTTTGTATAAGCTGAGCCCAACACATGTACAAGAATGCTATACCGAAAGTTCCTAGGCGCGGCATGCTGTTAGGTACGGTTCAAAATCACGCAAGGCGACACCCGGTCCGATCAAAAGTGTTTGCATGGCTTACTCCATTTTCGTGGTAGCGGAGCTGGCCAAAGCCACGACGTGTGACATGCGTTCGGCTGAAATGAAAAAAAGATAAGGCCTACGGTAGCGACAGCGGGTGCAGTGCAACTTTTTAGTTTGAGCACCGTCATGTGCTCGCGACATTGCCTGCAGTTGAAGCGTTGAGTTGCCCACGATTCAGGCAACACTACGACAACAGCCGGCAGTCAACGCAGCCGGCAGCATATTGCTGTATGAGACATTCAGAAGATACAAAGACCCCTCGCGAACGAGCAAATACATGCAAAATGGCTGTCAACACTCAGTCAACAGTCAACACTGCCAAAACCCTGGGACAACCAGCAAATTCCACTTCAGCCGTCTTAGAGGAAAAATGGAGGTTAGTTAGCCTCTTAATGTCCAGGACAGAAAAATGCTGGATTTTCCAGCGTTTTGGCAGTGTTGACTGTGGTGTGGAGTGTAGTGTTGACTGAGTGTTGAGTGTAATTTTGCATGTACTTGCTCGTTTTGGACGAGAAATGCAAACAAATTTTGGGATTTTCCAGCATTTTGGCAGCATTGCGGTGCCGGTTTTCGGGGCCGTGCGGCGCAGTTCGCACTTCAGGAAAGGGGTCACGCCACTCCTGTACATCTTGGCTACCAAGTCGCTAGCGTAACGCTTGTTGACGGGTGTAGCGGCCGGGAGCAGTTCGTGCTTCGACCAGGACAAGGGAACACCACTCCTGTAGATCTAGGGTAGAAGTAGGTAATGCATTTGCCAAGGCTGGCAACTGGATACCGGCATACGACTGCTCGCTCAGACCTTGTCGGTTCAGAGCATAAGATTGGTCGCTCAGAATTGGTTTCATACATCTTGCCTAATGCGACGACATTGTAGATGGAGGAAATCTTGCACCACTTTAAGTGGCCGAGCAAAGCAGCGACACTGCGCCCTTTTTTAAAATTGACTCTTGATCCTCCGGAGCGCCGTGGGTTCCAATGACAAATCTTGCACCACCTCGGTATGCATCATCGTCAACATTAGAAAAGGGGTGCGGGGTTATGCTCATGTGTCGTGTCACTTGCCAACAAATAGGTGGTGCATGATTTCCTCCAGCAACCGTACTACTACAGCTGCTGCTGCTGCGACTGCTACTACTGCTACTACTGCTACTGCTGCTACTAGTACCATTACTACTACTAATACTACTACTGCTGCTACTACTACTACTACTACTCCTGCTGATGCTTCTGCTGCTACTATCATTATTAGTGTTACTATTATTATTATTATTATTATTATCGGAGCCGTTTTGGAGACCGGGTCGCTGTGAGAGTGCGCTTTTTAGTTGTTGTTATGGCTTCTATAATCTTTAACGTTCCGGTTATCCTATCGGCTGGCTTGTGTAATCTATATGGATATACGTTCGTGCGGGAATATGTATGTATGTTTGCATGCATGTATGTAACTGGTATGTATGTATGTATGTATGTATGTATGTATGTATGTATGTAGGTATGTATGTATGTATACGTGCTTGTATGCGTGCCTCTCCATATCTATATATATATATATATGTATATCCATTTGCGTGCATATACACTTGTAGCATGTTTACATATCTATTGGCACTCCCACATACACATTGACGAAGAAATCTCAAACTACATAATGCATCGTTCACTATGTGCGATACGACATGAAAGATCACAGGGTGCCAAGCACGTGCACTCTACACTGAACTTTTCATTCGATCAAAAGCAAAAGACGTAAATCTGTAAATAAACACGTATAGCATATTGTCTAAAATGCACCGTCCTACGAGTCAAAAAGTATATACGACTACAAGGAACAATTTTTTAGATCTGTTATTCTGTTAACGGATCCGTTTTTTATCCCATAACATAACGATCCCGAAACCACATATGACATATTTTGATACATACACATCTGCACACACACACATGTGTATATATTTATAATATAAAAGCATATGTATGTTCTTTGTCACATGCATACACAGACATAAAAACATCATATATATATATATAACATTTACATACGATACATATATATATATACATATTATATTCACATGCACGAGTATGTATATATATATATATGTCTGTCAACGTAACTATAGATTTAGATATGCATGTATGTACAGATACATAAATACGCATACTATAAAAAAAATATGCCTAGAAGTGTATGCCACGTATATTTACTAACTTTTGTGTTTATATGTGTATATATATATATATTTACACTCTATATACATGTCATGAATGCATATACACATATATCTATATGTATACATATGTATATGTATAAATGGGTGCAGCCATAAAGTATACCGACACCCAATAGTCTAGCTAATCAAAACTCAGGAACCCAAGAACAGATATGATGGAGTGAAGATGATGGCATGCATACATAGATGTGTATATATATATGCATGTATGTACATTTATGTGTGTATGTAGGCGTGGGTATATATATATGTACATAATTAACATAGAGACAGGGTTGGTGCATGAATCACAATGATAAGGTCTTCGGACGACTATTTGTTGCCCACACCTTCGCCTATTGAGCTCGCTCATGCTAGCATCTGCATGAACGCTCCATTGCACGTATGGTCGCACGTTTGTCGCCCGATGTCTGTAGTCTTTGGTGCGGCTTGTATGTTTACTTTAACCTATGTTGAATCATGTTCGAATTGTTTATATTGCATATTAAGGGTTGCTGTGAGAACGTACACATAACAAGCAATTTTTTTTGAGTCCGCAACAATACAAATGCTAACAGCCAAACTGTACCATTGATTCACTAAACTAAATACACATGTGTATATATATATGTGTATATATATATACACGGGTACATGTCGCTTTTCGTATTTTCGTACTTACCCTCAACAAGGGATGGAATTTGGTCAGCCTTCACGGGATTGATATCTAGTTCACAGCTACAAGCAAAGTTTCCTTCAGGCATGTGCAACAGCATACGAGCATATTTGCATGCAAAGCCTTCGATGCACCCGATACTAACATGAAGATATAACCGTATATGCGAAGTTTTGATGAAGCGTGCAGCTAGTATTCACCTACGTTTAATTTTATATATTTGATTACATGTGGGGAGTATGGAACACACACACATATTTCTTCAGACACACATATGCACATGTTTTTTTTAATGTTGGTCTACTTGATATGGCAGTAATCTCGCAACTGGTGAGTATATGCCATGAAAATATACACCTGTATTATGAATGAAAACAGGGGTTTATATATTTTTAGGTACATATTGTATGTATGTATGTATGTATGTATGTATGTATGTATGTATGTATGTATGTATGTGTGTGTGCATGCATGTACGTATGTTTGTATCTAAGTATAAAAAAGAAAAGAAAATAAATCTATATGTGTATATATATATATGTATACATATGTATTCGCACACACTCATACGCTTACCCCTTTTTTGTATTTTTGCATTTTTATAGATCTACATGCAATAGGAACAGCTAAGGCTCAGGGTTTATACCAATAGAATAGTGCTGCCGATATTGCAGCATGTAATAAAGTAGAAAACAACACAGAAGTCCTCTTGATTGGCACGAAGGGACGACCTCACGCAGATTCCCTGCGCGCAGGTAGCCACGCGCGGAAAACCAACAACACGACCAGGGACAGGGCAGGAAAACCAAACAAAACCAAAAAAATCAAAAAAATCAAAAACAACCAATATGTAGGAACTCTCAGAAATATATATGGATGAGGCCAAAGTCTCGAAACATTGTTTTTTTTATTTTTTTGGACACGTGGGCGTGGAAAAAACTGTTGTTTTAGTAGCGAAAAATGGCTTTGACAAAATGAAGTTTCTTGGGCGCCGGTCTGTTTTAACGCGTTTTGCCAATGTAGCTAATAGTAAAATGCGTTTTCGTGTGGGTTTTT